AGAAACGCAGAAAAAAATAAGGCCGCCTTCAGGCATAGTACTTCCTCTCTCTGGATCCAACACACCGCGGCTTCCGCGCGCGATCACTTGAATATGCACCAACCGAGCTGCACCAACCACTTGTACATACACGAACGGAACGGGTAGAAGTGCACAGAAAGGCGGCGCTATCACCTGAGAATAAAACTACATGTAGTGTAGGGCATTGAAAGAACCTACCCCCAGTGGGCGGCGTGACCCAATCGGAAGGTGTAAGTACAGAGATGTGAGAGAGGAGGGGACGGGCGAGACCGGCAAAACTTCCAGCCCCCTTGCTTGCTTCTTAATCATGCGAAACCAACCGTGAGAAATGAGTGTGGCATGGCTGGCGTGGCTGTTGCTGGATTAACCTATGAATTGACGAAGAGAGAAGTTATTACGGACCATCCTATCGACGACTGTCAAAAGGTTCTGCAAACAAGGACTTTCTGCCCATTCGAGAGAAAAGATAATACTGTACATATGAAGTACGGACGCAATTTGGGGATATATCGGCTGTGTGGCCCACGGGGAAAGCATCTATATTTGAAGCCGCGCTCTGGTACCCTATTTCAAAGCAGGTCGAATCTGACCCTTGTCTTAGCCATGATCTGGCCCGGCTTCCCTCGGGGAGGGGGCGGCAAAGCCGGTGAGGGGCCTATTTCTCCCCTCCGAGTCATGAATTGCGTGTCAGAGCATGGTTTGGCGATATTTTCCGAGAAGAATCTCATCCTGTTGGAATCAGTTTCAGTTCGGGTTTGATAAAATATAGGCTCTTCTTGTTGGTTCGGTGTGTTGTCCTCTATGCAGGAGAGCACGTCCAGCCTTTCAAGCACCAGACACGTCTCGTTCCGAACGCCTTACCCATTCTTCCAAGTGTGCAAAACTGTGGCGGTGGCCTCTGTTTCCCCACTTGTACCATCGTTGCCTTAATGATGTTTGTCGTTGTTTGCGTCATACTGTTGTAAACAATTGTTTCTTGTCGAGTTGAGAAGCTCGACAACAACCTCTTTTCGCACCGGCGGGCGAACGTGCCCGGCATGCGTTGCTGCTGTCAAACATCACTCCCAGGTGTTTTCGCCCATATCTCCCCCCCTTCTCTTTCGCCCGTGAATACCGTCCCTTATCATCGTTTCGATATGGATGTGCTTCATATCTTCACGGAAACGTTCAAACGTTCGCCACAATGAAGACGCGATCTGTACTTATTGACCACGAGAAGCTTGATCAAAATACATTCCCTCGTCCGCGGATGAAAATGACCGGCATACGTTGCTCACTACCCAGCGGCGTTGCCCATGTCGCACCGTCTATGGCCCTTAAATTCTCCACCTCATCATCCTTTGGATGTCGACATGCTTCGCATCTTGACAGAAACATTCTCGCCTTCGCCACGATGAAGATGCGATCTGTACTACTCGCGCTGCGCGTGCCCTTGCTGTCTATGCCGCTAGCGCCGCACCTTCGAGGGGAAAGATGAGTGAAACCGTTGAAGGGCTCGAGGATGCGAAGCAAGTTTGACACCTGGAAAACCAAGACCCAGTATTTTCAAGGTCGTCTCTACTCGTCAAATGCATCACTGAGTTAACCGCGTGATGGATTTCGTGCTGGGCGCAAGAGAGGAAGCAAAGGTCAGGCCGATCGTTTAAAGACCCATCACACACGCCCGGACAGTATTCAAACTGCGTTCAAGGGGTTTCCATGTTCTCACGCCCACCCTCGAGTGGTTGCAGTACTACGCTGTCGTGGAAAAACTTGGCGCGGTCGATCTTGCCTCTCCCCCGGCTGACAGGTAAACAAGGCAGCAGTGTCGGTGCGGAATCGTTGCACATTCACAATCAGGTCCGCGCCCCGTTGAAAGCCAACGCGCGTCTCAGAGGCTACCAGCCAGCCAGTCCTATCGGGGAGATCTATCAAATGGCTGGGGTCCGGCGTCATTGCCGGTGGCGCCTACGCCGAACACCAAGGAAAGGCGTTGGGCGTATAGTATGTAGTAGTTCGCGCAGAATGAAACTTGTCATGTACGTACCCTCCAGGACCTAGGATATCGGAGCAATGGCTCCAGATCATATTTTGTGAATGGTCTGAGAAATGTCTTGATTGTGATGTTGTGCGATGTTTGACTGTGCCCGCAAGGATGAAGGAAGACCCGCAAACGGAGGAGCCCCGCCCACATACGAGCGCGCATGATCGGTTTCGTAGTTTGCACGCGGCAAAGTCGTTTTTACGGGCGGGGGCGACGCGATGGCCTCGCGACGAGAAGCATTGCGTAACTCATACATGTGGATGTGGGAATTCTTCACCTTCGGTCGAATTTTTTCGCTAATGATGATGCTAAAAAGTTCATCGTTTCTTCATTAATCATACGTCATGCTCGGAAACAACCAATTGAAACACTTACAGTAATTTTTGGTGGATATGTATTCCTCCGATGTTGAGCCCACACGAGTGGGAAAATGGGCATGAGGGATATGGAATCTCGTTGTTCACTTTCTTTGTCGCCATCGCTGTTTCAGAAAATGGATGACGACTACGTTACCGATTGTACACACGCAGCACCATTTCCCGCACGGCCTAGCGGCTGGGACTGGGCGAGAACGCGGCTGTCGCTGAACGGCGAGAGGGTGCTGAAGAGGAATCGACTGCCGAACCAACGCCCGACAAAACCATGGTGGATTCATTGCACCTTGCGCCCGTGCGGGTTTGCGAGCGCGTTACATCATTGCACGGCTTGGGTGGGCGTTCTCTTCCCATCGCCATTTTTTTAGGATATGAGCTGCGCAATCAAATATCGAATGAGTAAATCGGCTCTCCAAAGTAAGAAGCGCGATGTCTCAGCCTAGGATGGACACTTGACACCGAGTTAACGATGCCATTGTGACACAGTATTGAGAAAGGTGGCTCGGCAAGTGGTACCAGAGGGTGGTGTGGAAACCGCAAGAGAAGCACCACGCAAAAGGAGGAATACATCACGACATCCGTCCGTCAGGCCTAAAAATCACTAGTCGAATCTCCGAGCGGGCTATTATAGCGATTCCGGTAGGCGCGGCGGGGGTGCAGCTGTGATACTCACGCTGCAGCTGGCTCTATCCAATCTCCCCTGTGCTATAGGTGAATCGGGTAGGCCGAAGCTTGTGTGTGTGTGTGGAACAAGGCAACTCGGCCAGTGTGGACCGAGATCGGAAGGAAGGTGTTGTATTACAGTACATAAAAATGGTGCAGACCGCGAGAGAGAGTCATCGCACGATAGCATCCACCACATCCATCCGTCACGCAATTCCATGTCACTACTACTGGAGAATATCACATCTCCAACAACACCAAGATTCATCCGAGGAAACCAGCCCGCAGTTTCCTGTTGTCTCTCAATCTACGGCTTAGACATACAACCATCATCTTACAACAGGCTATTTGACACACTGACCTCGCTTCGAACCCATATGAAAAAGTACCTCTCTCTACATACTGGCAGGACGAGAAGAGCCAGGAACATCGAAGTCCCGCCTGAAGAAATTACCCCCTGCAAACCAACTCAGGAAACAGCAATGTACGCCCATGGGCTCAATGGGAGCAATGGACATAACGATATGATGATTGGACACCTACGTTGACGCAAAAACTAGTCAACAACATGTAGCCCATGGATATTACATACGGCCTTGAACCTGCAGAATGTCATCAAAGTCCGGCAAGGGGCGCCGTGACGTGCACTTCAGGCCACGCCCCCATGTAGTTCTACCACTTCCACCTCAACTGCCGACAAGCGTTCTACCGAGAGAGAGAGGAAAAGAGCCCTTTTTGAGTGGGCGGGGGCAAAGATCGCCGTCAATGACGTTCGATTGTCCAACAAGTTGCTATGTGGAGCGCTTGAGAAGCCTACAAACACGTTTCTAGACACCTCTGCCTAACGCCTCCTACGTACGAAACCTGTAGATCATACATCGCCGGATCAGCCTGGCAAAGCATGGATACGGGAATCCTACTGACCAAAAGGTTTGGGATCCACGGTTGTGGGCCTAACAGTGAGTTCAACGAAGGGGACCCACGTGCACCCCTGAGTGCATGGTGGATCCTGGCCGTGAAGCTAGAGCTCGATTGTGTCCATGGCGAAGGTAACATCGAGGGGGCCCGTGACGCGGTCTGCCCGACATTTGAACAAATGTCCACATGGAGAAAGAGTGATTCGTGTTAGGCGGAGGGGTGGGAGGACGGTTCGGGTTGTTGAGTCGTGAGGTCTCTATTCTTACAACTGTGTTGTTTGACAACGAACGAAATACGGCTAGTTTCTCCAGAGACACTCTTCACAGCGTACAGAGAGGTTGGTACCACATGTAGGAAAATGGCGAATCACAAACCAGCTTCATCGCTTCGGTTCTCACACCTACCTTTTTGGAATTGCCTCGCATGCGAACATGTGAACACGAACATGGGAGTGTAGTACCGGATTTGGGATAGTGACGCCGGTATCGGATACGAAAATATTCCCGGGTCATTAAACCTGCACCCCACCCTCTATGCCTGTGGTACACAGGCTACTTGCGCTTGTGTGTTTGTGGCCACGAGATATTGCACCCTGCGATGAGAGCGGGGGCTCCGTCCATAGAATTCCGCTCAAACTTCAACGGGTGCGGTATATCTTAACACTGTCCGATAATAGTGGCGATTTTGATGCCATGATCAACTACCACACACGGGTGTGGAACCTTGAGTGTGTGAAAGTGTGACTCATGCAACCTCGGTCAAAATATGCTTAACAGCCGACAACACAAGGTGCCTCATGGGGGATACATATCGGAGTCTGGGGCAGAGCGGATGACAATCCTCGAGATTCTACAGGGTTCGGGCATACCAATATCCCGAGGGGCAAGGATTAGCCTACGCCGTCGCCGAAGCACATATCACGCTACCCAAATCTCCGACTATGCGTGCTATCCGCGACTCACAGTCTTCCTCGGACCCGCGGATGGCGTCCATGCCGGTCATTATGTCCTGGCCATAGGCGTCCTTGGTCGGGGTGGAGTCTCACCGAGGATCCCGGTAGCGGAGTCGCTCACCTGCGAAGATGGACGGATACAAGAAGATGCGTTTTTCCCGTGCGAGAGAGGACGACGGACCGGAGGAGGAGGCAGAGGGTAGCATTCGGTCAAGGACACACACACCCGTTTTTTTGTCTTTAATACAAGTGTCCTTATGCCGGGGAAGCGCTCCTCCTGATGTTGTACATTCTGCGTGCCATCATGCCCGTGAAAACTCAGCTGTCCTTAGCCGAGGGAGTTTCCATGATTTTGGTGTCGTTAAGGGAAACACGACTTTTTTAAGTTTAGAAGCCATTCGATCCGACTATTGCGTTTTCGAGGCGTGTGTGGAGCTTACGTCGATGTGGTCGATACCCAAGTTCATCTGCCAAGTGGTGTGGTCGGGAAGGTCGAACCGGTCAGTGGGGTCGCGGGTCGCAATCTGGTGGAGACGACCGTGGCTCAGGCGAACCGTGGCCGTGGGGGTCACGATCTGGAACGAGGCGTGCTCGGACTGGTGGGCGAAGAGGCCCCCTGCCTGTGCCTCGGCGCGCGCAACGTACTCGATGCACTCGTTCATGTTCGTAGCCGTTGGGTCCTGACAAACGAACGACCAACGGCAAAAATAAGAGAATTCATCAATGGCATGTACATCTCCAAAGACGACCCTCAGAGTCGCTGCATGAGGTGTAAAGCCTTCGTGCTGTGTAACATGACACTTCAAAAACAATTGTGTGCTACACTCCAATGACGGGAACAAAGAAAAGGGGGATTGCGTGCCAGCACGACGTGTAGTCTACGCCCCCACCCGCAACGCGTCCAAACGCACTGTGGAGGATACGAAAACTCCGGTTTCTCACCCCGAGTACCCACGCCCCCATGCTCTGCTCGCCCAGGTGACGGCCGTGGAGGGCATTCTCGAGCTTCTTGCGCTCCCAGTACGTTTCAAACCCGAACGAACGGCATTCCCCCGGGAGGTTGGCCGCCGTCACGATGACGTCATCGGACAGAGCGACGGACGCCGGGGCAGACAGCTCCTCCTTCCCGTCGAGGATCACCCTCAGGGACCCGTCGGCGAGGCAGGGGGACACCCCGGCGGGGCAGGAGCTCTCGATGTCGTGCGGGTTCTTGACCTCGATGACGACGCTGTGGATTTGTCCGTCCGCGTCGGTGGTAAGAAGAGATAGACCGGTGATGTACGTGATCTCCGGCAAAGAGGGGACCGGACTCGTGACGCGCTGGCGGGCGAGCAATAGCGGGGCAACACGAAATAGTTTTTCGGGCCGTTCGGGGTTGGTTGCGGCAACGCCTCATTGTCTCGTCCCAGTTCCTGGTGAGAAAAGTCAAACATTACGGTCATCGCGCCATGGACCAACGACATCTCGCATCAGGACTCACAGCAGTTTCTGTTGAGAAAAGTCAAACTATGCGGCCATCGTGCCATGAGGCTACAACACGTCGCATCACGGGGGCTTCACCACGGCATGCACATCAATCGCATAGCGGGCACCAATCATCGACGACATGGTCTACACACCGGATCGAATGTTCAAATTTGCGCCACCCCTCCCCACTATGCCTCGCAGGATTACACGAGCATCCGTCATGGTCCTCAGCAGCTTCACTAGCCCGCCCCATATCTTCTCGGGCATCAAGGCCTCGGCTCACTATGTCACTCGCCTCAATTCACACGAGGATATATCGAGGCTCACCATGTTCATGTGCAAGTTCGGGAAGTCACTGATGACCGCGTAGTAGCCGCCGTCCTCTCCCGTGAAATCGAATTTTTGGCCAAGGAAGCCCGTCATGTGCGGGTCCCCTACACAGACAATTCCGTCAGACGGGGGTACACGTACAAGGCCCCTTGTTGTGTTCAAGTCTTGCGAGTTTCCAACGTTCATTGGATCGATGAGTGACTGCAGTCGGCGAAGTATAAGCCAGCTGCGAGCCCTTCAAACCGTTACAGACTTTAGCTATAGCCTACGTAAGGTTCACACGGTGCATTGCATTTACGATGCTGACGGCCCAGGCAACGCGCTGACACGACCAGAACTCGCTCGGGACCAAGGACTTACAGCAGTACAGTAGTGGTGATTCGGAATCCAGAATAGACCTAACAATAATAGCTGCACATTAGAGCGCCAGGTGAAACTTCCCCGGACCAGAACACAGAGCGAGTCAGCCACGAATGTATGTATGTCGTAAAAATTACGGAACAAGTAGCAGCACGATCTTGCAACACAGGTTCCGCACGATATCGGATCGAATAAACTCACCGCAGGCGCGTGCCGCGGGAGCGCCTGGATCCGGATTCCTGCACACGTGGGGGAATACTTCAGTGCAACACTTCAGCTTTCCAGAGCGACCTAAACACTTGTCGTCCATCGGATTGCACGGGCAATTCAGACCCAGGCCACTTCCACCACAGCTGTTGCCTTGGAGGTCCGAAAGTGCGTAGAAATGTTCGCCAGAGGACGGGCAGGTGCATGGGGTGGTGGAGTTAAGAAAGTGGAATGGTGGGAAACTCCTCAAGGCGGACTACTTCGGACAACCGCTATAGGCTTTCTGTTGTGATCCGAAGGGTTCGGGTGTTTGTCTTTAATCGACAGTTCCTCTCCGACGTCCGGCGCGTAGTATATCACGCGGTGAACTCAGTGCATTCGATGATACCAAATTTCCCCAAGGTCTTGGTGTACCCACCTATGAAATTGATTCGTAATGTCGAAACATGCTAGGGTGATTTTCGCTGTTACCTCCACCCTGAGGGTTGGCGTGGGCGATGTATAGCAGAGGTAGGAGCAGCGCAAACGTCGATGACGTCTTCATCTTGGCGAAGGTTGTTTGGGTTCCTGTGAATGTAGCACATCGACAACAAAACGATGAAATGGGATGGTATACATACGGGACAGTGGGAAGGCCGCGGCATCAGCGTGAAATTTTCGGGGAGCGAGATTTCACAGCCGTCATGCATGCGAGCAAGTGCGAGTCACGTTCTTCCGCGGAGGAGGAAAGTGTATATTTCCGACCGACCTTCTCATCGCCAACGATTGGTTGCCAACACAAGAGCAGTGAGAGCCACAACCGTCCTTTGTCAACCTGCGACATCGCCCAGATAACAAACAAGCTGTACGCGACAGAAAGAGTTTATTATGAAGCGTCTTGGCAGGACGGGGCAACAGCTTTTCGCGAGAGAAAAAAACAATTCGTGGTCAATGTGATGACAACACCAAAATTCGAAACCACGTTCCCACCATGGACGGATTTCGACATACTGTATGCGTGCCGGGAAACACGCCGTTGGCCTCTTCGTGGAATATTTTTTGTGTGAGGCGAGGGTCCACATGCCGACATGCAGAATCGCCCCCTAGTGTTAAGGAGGACCCGATTCGCGGGGTATCCGTCGATATACATTTACCAGAATCGGTACACCTTCGCATACGACGCCAGCAGGATACATACTTGTTCGAATCTCCTTGTGCGCACATTTTTCTCCTGCCTTGGACATTTTCCCATGGACAAAATGTATGTCAGTCCTGACAACACTTCTTGGGTTCGATTCTACGAAGAACCTAGTCACACTTCCATCGAATTACCCGTCCTGGCCACAAGAGGTTCCCACTTTCTACAGTTTTACCAAACGACCCATGGGACTCCCATGGCACTCCCATGGGTCACCACCGGATCACCAACGGGTCACCCATGGGTCACCCATGGGTTACCCATGGGCACTCCGTTAGGCCCACAGGCAGCCCATGGAAAGCCCATGGTCGGCCAATGAGAGCCCTTCGACCGAACCAGTGTACCTAAACAATAGACTATCTTCTTGAAGAACGAGCACAATAACGGCAAATAACCCTGACGCTAACCCTATCTATCCCTAACCCCAAGCCCACACGATACGCGCTAAGTTGGCGCTGGTGGCTAAGTTCTAGTTTGATGCGCAGGTGGCTAGGTTCTAGGCTGATATGCCGGTGGCGACGTTCTAGGTTGAGGAAGTGCCCACGGTGGGAACTTCATGGGCCGCCCATGGGCGGCCAATGGACGGGCCATGAAGAGCCCGTGAAGAGCCCTTGAAGAGCCCATGGGTGACCCATGGGGGTCCCATGGGTCGTTTGGGAAGACTGTCAGTAGTGTGGAAGGCTGCCAGTTGAGGGTATATTCTGTGGGTGAGAGTGTTAATGAGGACCCGATTCGTAGGGTATTCATCCGTCGATTGGCTTTTACCAGAATCGGTACACCTTCGAACTAGTGCGCCCGTGGGCATTCTTTGCAAACCAACAAGCAAGGTGGGCCTGCACGCGGGGCACAACTACAACATATTTGTGTGCTCCGCGGTAGACAATCCATCCGATTCACTACATGCTACAGCAGTAGTTCCAGACGTAGATGTACCTACTAAACCCCAGAGCCAATTAGGCCCCACTCACTAGCGATATGTGGTGGGCGAAGTAGATATCACCATAAAAAGAAAGGTTCATGGTGTTGATAAGACTCACTCTTCTTCGTTTAAGCCTAAATTTGTTCGGATCGGCGAGGTACTCATCATGTACTTACAGCATTTTATTTTGATATTTACCACCTTTTCGCATCTCACCATACATATTTGCGAATGGTCCATATTCAGAAGGGTATAAAACAAAATCGGTTTGGCAACCGCCGTTTTCTAGGAAAGGGTGACGGCAATCGGTTTCGGATGGAGAACGACGCGTTTACAAGTCCTGTCGCTCGATTCAAGACTGTAAAGTTTGCCGTGCACCGAAAATCGGGCAGAAAAACAGTCGTACGCGAGCAGAGTGGCTCAATGGCCACCAATACCCCAAAATAATTGCATACCGCCTATTCGGAGGGTGCTTGACCTTGCGAACAATGTAAATAAACAACAATCGGTTGCGTGTGGTTGTTATGGTGCACCTACCTGTGTTCAGGGATATTTTCCGCCAAAGAATGCCGAAAAAACATGGGGACGCGTCATTTTCGTCCCCCGTGTGTACAAATTTGATCCAGGAAGAAACAAAAATGCATCAACATCATCTATCTTCTGCAAACAACTCGAAACATCATATTATAGTCATTGAAAAGTAAATTCATACCAAGCAGTTCGTTTCATAACATAAGTTATGTTGGATGTACTCACAGCATCAACAGATTATTGCGAGCAAGAATTTCCCGAGCAGATGGAGCGGGGAGTTTGGGGGTTCAATGGTTGCTATGGATTAGATTTGGTGGTACCAACTTTATCACATATTGCAGGTTTGAGGGTATGGGTGTCTACAACGGAATTTGTGTGCGTGGCTTGTGGTTCCTCACTTCCTTTTTCTGTGTATAATCAAGTCCTTTTTCCGGCTCTCACGCCAACCCCGGCTTCCACGCCCATACTCCGGCTATCACGCCAACCCGGCTTCCACGCCTTCAGGACTCCCACGTCCCTAAATATACCTTTACATCAGGGCCACCACGCCACCCGGCTTCCACGCCACAACTATATTATACACGAGCTTCCACGCTCCACCACGTAGAAGGGCTTTCACGCCCGCGGATAGTTTCTACATTTTGACCGTTGGCAGTACCCAGCTGCTGGCACCTTTTGTTTCCCACTACGGGAAACAAAAGCCGAGGCACCCACGCACAAAGCTACTCAACAAGCTACGTCTGTGGGGGAG